TAGAAATTTCCCAGGGAGAAGCTGGGGCTAACTGGAACCAGCGTCTGAAATAAGCCACTTCCTCCCCGAGGCAGAGGGGTTAGATGTGGCTGGAGTGGGACAGTCATGGTGAAGGCTGTGAGGGAGAGAGAACCATGAGGACACGAGAAAAGACAGACTGCACCTTCCTACTGGCAGAGAGGAGCCAGGCGTGCAGCCTGGGGTTCTACAAACCGTAGAGTGGTGGCTGCTTTGTTTCCTGAAACCCCAGGATGCTGAGGAGTGAGTTCCGGAATCTAAGAGAAACTCACTCTGAAACCTAGAGTTGGAAGGAAGGAACCTTTAAGGTCACCAAATCTCTGAGTTAACAGCCTGATGTCCCACATTGCCTCATCAGCCTCCTGCTCCGTGGTTCTCTGAGCTTGACACACTTTTATGAATGTGAAGGCAGTGGAGACATAAAATAAACACTTGGATTTTAACTGCCTCTTTGCCCCTGCGTGGGAGCACTGGCATCAAGGTTTGTCAAAAGCCCCTGTCCTCACATGGCAACCTCCTGGCTGTGGTGATGGTTGGTGCTCCTGCCAGCCTAAGTAGGGGTGTCTGGGATGGTTTACTGACTTCCCACCTCCTCTTGCTCCTCCTCCATCAGTCCCCATCCCACCCCAGACTCGAGTCCCAGCAGGTGAGGCAATGGGGACCAGGGGACCCGTAAGGAGAATGTCTTCGGCAGCCACCGGCCCAGGGAGCCAAGCGGATATTGATTTGGTCTACGGGAGCAAGGGGACCCATTAAATACGTGGCTGTTAAATTGCTCTGCCTGAAGCCAGCCACCTCTGCAGGCGGTGGACGGCCCAGCTGGCGGCAAGCACCTGGCGGGGGTGATCTGAGATGCCCCTACTCTAATGTACTAGTCCGGGGCCATGCTGCTCACAGGTCCCCTATGGGGCCACACCTGGGGCCATGCAGGGATCACACAGCACCTCCTCTTTCCCTCCCTCTCTATCTCTGCAAGTCCCACTCAGCTCAGCTCAGCTCAGCTCCGTGGACCAGTGCAATGGCACCTCTTCCATGAAGTTTTGCTGCCCTTCCACTCCCTGTGCCTCCCACCCAGGGAAGCAGGGTGTCCCTCCCACATCTGCTATAGTGCTGAGAGTTGTGGGCCCACCAAAGAGGGACACGTGGGTCCCCCTCCCTCACACAGGTGGGGCCTGGGAGGCACCCAGGGGAGGAGGATCAGTTCACTGGGGAGGAGGCGGCAGGAAAACATGGGCCGAGCTGGGGCCTGATGGGCACCCCCATCCCCTCTGCCTGGACAGCACCTAGCAGATGCCAGGAACTGCTCAGTCCTCAGTTATTCTCTCTCCTGTGTGATGCCAACCCTCCCTGGGATGCCAGTCATGGAGTCTGAGAACAGGCTCAGGAGTTGGAGTCAGGCAGTCTGGGGTCTGAATCCCAGCTCCACCTCTAATGGCTCTGTGACTTCAGGCCAGGTGCTTCCCTCTTGCAGTCTGTCTTGCAGTAACACAGAGATACTGAACCCTGACCTTCAGGGTAGTTGTGAGAATTAAACTAGACAGTGACTGCAGAAGCCCGGAGGGGGCCAGTGGTTTCCCAGTCACATAGCAGAGAGCAGGAAAGCTGCTGGGGTTTGCCCAGCCCTCTCTCTCCCCATCCAGCCTCTTTCGGGTCAAGGGTCCTGGCTGGGGCCTACATCAGGCCAGAGGTCTGGCCTGGGTGCCCTGGCAGCTGGCCACGTTGGCCTCAGGAACAACACACCAGGACTTGGTTGGGCTGGGCTTGGGCCCCCCTAGGTTGTTTTCTGGCCTGAGTGACCTCCCTGGGGGGCCTTATCTGACCATTCTCTCCTTTCCCACCAAACTAATCTCTCTGTCTTTTCAAGAGTTCCTGTTTCCGCTCTGCCGCCTTCTTGTCTCTCCTCAGGCCCTGGCTCTCCCATGACTCTCTGGTCAGCCCCCGCGCTGATCAGAGCCACCTCAGTGTGGCTGGCGCTATCATCCTGGGGCATTTTCATCTTTCCGGGGTTCTTGGGGCCTTTCAGAGCCCTGTCTGGACCCCTGCCCTTTATGCAGGAGAGTTGTCCCCAGGCCAAGAGTCTTGTTGTGACAGGGTGCTAACTCCCACAGATCAGCTCCCAAGGCCTCAGAGTCCTCTGGGCTGGACACTGGCCCAGGCCCCTGCTGGCATCAAGTACCATGGCTTGAGCATTAGCTCAAAAACTCCAAAGTACCAAGATTGTGTGTTCCAAATCTGAACACAGGCAGTTCAGAGCTGCTGGAGCCCTAGGCTTCCAGAGCCTCTGGACACTGTAGTTCGCACGGTGGGGAGACCCAGCCCCACCTCACCTGAGCGTGAGGTCAGCTACCATCTTAGAGCTTCACCGGGCAGAATGAGGAGTTGCCCAGGGATTAGCAGTAGCCCAGTCTCTGGCCAGCCAGAAAGGTGCAGGGACTGGCCAGCAGCAGGTGCACAGAGCCCACTGAGTCAGAGACAGCTAGGTCTCCTGTCCCAAGCTGTGAGGACTCCCCTCCTGGCCCAGGAAATATCTTGTGCCTTCTACGCCACTCATGTGTGTGCCTGTGGGAGAGAAGTGTGAGAAAGAACACACATGGGCTCAGAGCCCACTCTGTGAACCTTCCTTGCTATTTGGGGCAACCTCCTCTCCCTGCAGAGCCCCAGTTTCCTCCTCTCCTGCCTGGGGGAGGCTTGTGTGGAGAGTACTTGGGACCATGAGCTCGGAATGTACACAGCAGGTATACAATAAATGGAAGCATTTGTAGTTATTATGTTTGCGCTTACCGAGAGCCATTCTGGGTCTTTGGTCTGGTTTCCCCATTTACCTGAATTAGTGTAGGTACAAAGGACACCACCAAATTCAGGCCAAGAGTCCTGGGGCATGTTTTGCACCCTGATCCCAGGGCCCAAAAGCTTCATGGAACTGGTCCCAGCCTATGTGGAATCCAAATGTGGGTGGGGCAAATACAAGACGGCACAGGATTTGATAACACTTCGTATCAGTACAAAGTCAGACGGAGCACAAAGGCTGTGGGAAGCCAAGAGAGGCCATGGGCTGAGGGTGGTCAAGAAGGGCTTCTTGGAGGAAGCGACCACTCACTTGGGTCATTAGCCCAGCTACTGGAGGGTAAGAGTGGTGTGATGATCACTTTAAGGTTCAAAGGGTTGTGGAGACCCTGAGGAGGAGCAGTCCCTCCCACCCAGGGCTCTGGAGTGGCCTTTGTGGAAAGGGCTGCAAAGTGGCAGGGCGTGGGTTGGTGATTCCAGCAAGGACAATGATGTCCTGGGCTGTGCCCAGGAGGTAAAGGTGAACCAGTAGGTGGCAGGGCAGGTGTTCTGCAGCTGTGGAGGGACTTCTGGGAAGCTGCAGGAAATGGGCCGAGGGGCCCATGAAATTCTGTGTATGTGTATGGGGGGAAGAGTTATGTGCCAGACCAGGGAACTGGGGATTGGCTTTGTGGTATCCATAAACCCTGGCAGTATGTAGTACCCCATACTATAATAGACAGAGGTGCTGGCAGGCCCACAGTGAAAAGCTACCACTCTGTCCTCCAGCCCCTTATCACCTCTGGGACCACAGGAAAGCCCTTCCCATCTCCGATTTCCTTATTTGCAAGGCAGACTATAGGAGACCACAAGACTTATCTGGAGGTTCCTTCCAGCCTGTGATTCTGACTGGTTGTTTTTAGGCAGAACTTGGAGGATGGCCACAAAAACCCACCCTCTCCCCACCCTGGGACCAGGCCTCATCTATGCCGTCTCAGTTCCCGGATGAGACCTGTTTCACTTGCTAAGTCCTGCCCAGCCTCTGAGACTGCCTCTGTCTTTAGCTGGCTCTGAGAGGGGAAAGCCAAGCCCTCGGTGTCTACACACAGAAACTGACTAGAATATTCTTTTGCAAGCTTTGTTTTATGTGGTCTCCCCAGGGGCAGAGTGGGCTATGGGTAGCTAGTAGCTCTTCCACCATGGGACCCCCACCATGGACGGGCCCTGAGATGCACTCTTTGCTCAGGACTCGGTCTGGCACTGCCCACTGCAGGAAATGACATTGAAGCCAGTGCCTGTGACAATCCTGCTCCCCCGGGATCCTGTCAGGACCCCTTATGTGCTCTCCTGGCACCTCTTGATAGTAATGTCTCCTTTTCCTTTACATCTCTCCAAACTCCAAGGTGGAAGCACCCCAGACTTAGGCCTGGGCCCTCTTCCCTTTAAAGGAAAGGAGCCTGCCCACTCCCTCAGTGTCCTTTCTGCCCTGGCCTCTCCTCAGAACTCCAGGTCCAGCGTTGGGGTATCCACACAGAGCTTAAGTGACCCACAAGTCCAAATCCAAGTCCATCTTATCTCCACACCACTTCCCAATCAGCCTTTCCATCCTTCCCAGTGCTCCTGCCTAACCCAGATGGTCCTTTTTGGGTCTCCTTTGCCTGACACCCTACATGAAAAAAGAAAACAAATCTTGGCAGGTCCATGGTCAAGACAGAATCAGAATCCAGCAACTTTTCTCCATCCATTGCCACCAGCACGGTCCAGGCATGGCCAAGTTGCAGCCTTTCTCAGCCTCCAACCATGGTCGCCATCAGCCTTGTTTTACATATGGGGAAACTGAGGTGAGGGAAGCATCCCCAAGGTTGCAAAGAAAACTCGCCAGGGGTAGCTGGAGCCTGGGTCTGCCACCACCTCCTCCAGGCCCCAGCCGCCTGGAGTGGGTTTGCTCCTGCAGCTGTCTCCGCAGGTCTGACCACAAGGGCCGGCTGCTCTGTGTGCCTGTGTGTGTCCCGGAGGAACAGAGACGCTGCCAGCTGGGTTTATGTTTCAAGACGTCCGTCCTCGCCCTTGACCAAGGGAAACTAGGGCCAGGGCCGGGTGTGGGGGACGAGGGGGAGTAGGGACATCAGTGGGAAGCCGCCTGCCTGGAAACCAGAGTCCACCACCAGCCCCAGGATCTGCCCGGTTCACTTGAGGAGGCCAGAAACTGCAGGGCGGGCTGGGGATCACTCAGCATTTATTTTATACAGCTGTTTAAAAAGCTTGTTTAAAATATAGAACATTATATATATATATATATATATATACATTTATATATAAAATATATAAAGAGGAACTGAGGTAAACCACCCCAAAGAAAAAGCTATGTTTTATAAATATTTCTGTAGCTCCCACACCCCAAAGGAAAGAAAAAAAAAAAAAAAACCAACAAAAACAGACAAAAATCAAAAAACATTTACAACCCAAGCTAGTGGTTCCATGTGGTGGGCCAAGAGCCCCGCAGTGTTCCCCAAGGCTGGTCTGCTGGCCCGGAAAGATCAAGTCCGTACAGTCTCCCAGTCCCTTGACCTGGCTCCTTGGACCAGGCTGGAAGGTGGCGCCTGGGTGCTCCAGGGCCTGAGCTGCTAGGTTATTTTTAATCTTGTCGGTTTCCTTTGATGTCCAGCTCTCCTTCCAGAGTGACCAGGCGTTCCATCCCTTGTAGCTTCCAAGCAAAGAGGCAAAGCCCAAGTCGCCTGGCATCAGGAATTGGAAAGGAAAGGTCCACAGGGCACCTGCAGGCCCTGCTGCTGCTGCACCCCTGCGTGGTGGCGGCCACACCGTCACTTGCAGACGTAGCGCTCCACCGTGCGCTCACACCTGCGGCAAGTGACATAGCAGCACCAGTGGTACTTACAGTGGCACCGCTCCACCACGCGGTCTGTGTAGGGGTTGTAGCCACGCCCGCAGCACATGAGGTCGCAGCTGTCACTGCCGTTGGAGGTCTTGTTGCACTGCCTGGAGGGTGGGGATCAGAGAACAGTGAGTGCTCAGTCCCCCCACACCCAGTGCTGCGACTCCCAGCCCAGCAACCAACAGCCTTGCCAGGGAACCAGCCTCTAGGAATTTTAAGTACGCCTCTTCCCTAAGGATACTTCTGCCTTCTCCATTTCCAATAAGCTGTTAACAAAATGCTTTGGCTCTTCTGTTTCTAGAGGTGTCTTGTTTCCATTTCTTCTAAATACTGGAAGGCCCTTCAATCCTGTCTAATCATCCTGTCTTCCTATTTAATCTTTACTTATACCATAACAGATGTGAGGTTCACTTTTAGAATCCCAGGAAAAATTCTCAACACTAAAGATGGCACTAAACTTGAAGCATAGTGAGCGTGGGCACTGTTGGTGGGAGGAGGGAGCCTGCCTGCTGGGGGTTGCATAGGGGTTGGGTGTGTCCCTTCAGGACCTTATGTAGGGCCCTTGGCTGATGAAACGGGCTCAGCTAAGCATAGAGGTCCCCCAAACTCTCACAGAACCCTGGGCAAGCAGGGCTTGCATTGTGCCTGTACCAAGGCCACTGCATGCCTCCCCTCAGCCACACAGAACATGTTGCTGGTAGCAGGGGTTTGGGGAGACCAGGCAGGTCCAAAAGGATCCCCACAGCCATGTGGACAGAGGCACCCCAGAATGTCCAACCTGGGTAAGTCTTAGAGATGACTGAGTCCAATCCCTGTCTTTATCGATTGGGAAATTAAGGCAGAGAATGAAGATGGGACTTGCCCAAGTCACATAGGCTAACCACAGGGTTTGTGAAAGCTCAGGAGGCTTTCTGGAAGAGAAAGAGTCATCTAGGCCGAGCTACCTAAGAGCAGATGTCTAAGGGCAAAAAAGGGGAAGTGTTGGGGTGGTGGAGGGAAGAGCCGGGTGAAGGCTATGGACCTGGTGAAGAACAGTCAGAGGACGGAGGCTAGGAAGAGGCTGGGTGAGGCCCTGGGGTGAGGGGAGAGGACTCCTCAGAGAGAGAGCCAGAGGTAACCTGCACATGGGCTGTAAGCAAGAGGAACGTCAGGAAGAACAGATGCCCTAGAGCAGGACAGACCTGGGTTCCAACCCCAGTTCTGCTTTCATTGGCTGTATGACTTAAGTCATTTTTCTGGGCTTTGTTAGCCATTCAGCATCGTGAGTCCCCTTAAGCCCACTTTTAGGCCTCTGGCTGACTATACTACCTCAAGTGGCAGGAAGTGGACCAGGGGCCTTTTCCACTTCTCTGTCTCTTTTCTGGTACCAGGAGTCAAACTCAGGACCTTGTGCTTGCCAGGCAGGTGCTGTGCTGCTGAGCTCTATCTCTAGCCCCTTCTCCATCTCTTGATCCTCAGCATGTAGTATCTATGAACGTCGGCCTCCAGCATCAGAGCCAGACTAGGCTGAGGTGGTACTTGGGATGGGAGCTGAGGACCATGGGGCCATGGGCCAGGCTGGGCTACTGGGATGCCTGGAAAGTAGGGGCATAGGCCAGGGAGGGAGGAGGATAGCATCCAGGGGCCTCTAGGAGAAACATGACAAGCAGACTCGGGCTTATGGGGCCTCAGTTTCCCCGGGGAGGGACCAGCCTCTGGAGTAATGCCATCTGTGCACGTGGCTGAGCTGTTAACTAGACCCACTCACCTCCAAACCACCATGTGCCCAATCTATACCCAATCAGCCACACTTCCCTCCTCCAGGAAGCCTTCTTGCATGTCCAGGCTGGGTCACAGCCTTCTGCCCTCATCCCTGGGCTTTCTTCCGTCACAGCTTGAGCACTTGAGGTCTCTCTCCACCTCCACCCTGCTGCTTCTACTCATATCTTGCTCTTTCCTGTTTCCCTAGCTCGACCTGTTTCATCCTCAGTCTCCCTGAACCCCTCAATCTGGCCTCCAGATGGGAGCTGGGCCTCCTCACAGAGTCTGCTGCCCTGGGTGTGGGGATGGAGCCCCCAAACCCGCCCTCGCCTCCTGGAGACAGGAACGTGGGCTGCGGAGGAAGCAGATGCTGGCTGGGCACCAACTATGTGCCAGACTTGTTCCCAGACACCCACTCCCCATTCAATATTCCTCTAGCCCTGCTGCACACCACTTTTGTGGAATGCTATTAGGGGCTCCTTAATAAAAGAGTTCCCTGGCCAGCACCCCTGGGAAATACAGGCTTAATCAGATCCTTACTGCAGCTTCCTGAGGGCCTTCTTCATATAAGTGTATGTCCTGTGCTTGGTGCAAGGCCCAGGAGTGCATCCTGGCCACTTCTGGCCACATGGCTCTCTGTTCTAGTGGCTCAGGACTGGCTTCCTCGAGAAGATGCTTACCTGCACCACTCAGCACATGGTAGGTCTGCAGCCACCACCAGCCCCCCTTCTTTCCTGCCCTAGGTTGGGATAGGGCCATCATGGGGAGCCCAGCCCAGACCCTGAAAGTGGAGGCCAGGTGACCCCCAGGCACTTGAAGGAACTTGCACATGTCAGGGGACATGAGTGCAAGTTTCTCTACAGAAGGCACGCAGATCTTGCTTTCCTTGGCATCTTCAAACTTCCTGGGTGGTCATGCTGTGGTTTTTGCCTCTATCTTTTCTGTGCCACTCAGTTCCTCTTTTGTCACACAAGCAGACTATAGGACATTTATCCTTCGTCTGTTCATTTGACAAACATTTTCAGAGCACCTGTGCTATGTTGGTTGGGCAGCCTCCTCTTCTATCCCTGCCTCTCCCCATGGAGTGGAGGTGGGGTAGGGACCTCCTACTGCTTCCATGCCTGGGACCCTTTCCAGGAAGAGATGCACTCCCAGGACTTCTGCAGGGGTCCCCCTAGGACCTCCACTCAGCTTTCCTGGGGCCAGCCCACCTCTACTTAGCTCAAGTCCCCACTGTATGCCTGGCCCTGAGCTGGGACACAGCATCTCTTGAGGGTGTGCAGGACCTTACCTGTCTTGTGTCCCGTGGGACCCTACTTTCTCATTCTTCATGCAGAAGTCAGGTGAGCTCTGCAGATAGACGAGTTCGGAGTCCTTCACAGGCCGGATATCTAGGTCCTTGGGCACCAGGTGCTTGCGAGTGCCCATGGGTCGGTGCACAACCTTGGTGGCTGAGAGGTATCGAGTCTTGAGGTCGGCAGCCACATCCCGGAGCTCTGGCAGCCCCTTCCAGCAGGTGCGGATGGAGCAGGAGCCTGACACCCCATGGCACTTACACTTCACTTCCAGAGAGGCACGCAGAGCCTGCAGATAGTGGGGGCTGTCGGGCAGGGCAGCCAGAGCTCCCTCCCCGCCTGCCCCAGGACTCTGGACCCCACTGCCTTGCTGGGTGCTCTCAGCAACTCATTGCTAACTTGAGCCTCAAGGGATGGAGTGGTTAGCTCAAAAACTGGGAGGCTGTGTGGGTCATGCTTCAACCTGGGTGCAGCTGAGAGGTGCAGAGAGAGGGGGACATTTGCAGGGATAAAGGGTGCCACATAAGCACTTCATGTGTACCAAGTGCTCCACACATAATAGGGTTAGTCATCGCACAGTCCTTCCAGGAGGCATCATTTCCCCCATCTTAAAAAAGGGAAATGAAGGCTCAGAGAGGCTAAGCCTTCTGTCCAGTGTTGCTCAGCTAGAAAATGGTGGGGTTGGAAACTGAACCCATGCTTGAGGGTGATTTCAAAAGCTGTGGCTTTTAATCATCTGTATCTTTTGTCCCCACAAAACTGGGGCTGGATGTGGTGGGGCACTCCTGTCATCTCAGCACTTGTGAGGTTGTGAGGCAGGAGGATTGTGAATTCAAGGCCAGCCTGGGCTATATAGAAAGACTCTGTCTCAAAATAAAGACAAAAACCCACCCCCCGTTGGCCTTTGCCTGCACTACCAGGGCTCCTGCCAGGCAGTCCTTTGCAAGCACATCAGCATTCAGGGCCGCTGTACTCTTCGGTGCAATATGGGCACATTATTCCTGCTCTGCATGTCCTTCCTGCTGTGCGCATCATCCCTCGGCAAGGATGAACGAGATGACATATGTGAAAAAAGTGTGGTGAGCTACAAAGCTAAGTTAATATTGATCCTAAAAAAATAAGTCTATCAAATATGATGGATAAGGGAGGCTTGGGCTCAGAGGCTTCAAAAATGATTTTGTCTCACCACTTTTCCTGGGCCTCAGTTTCCCCATTTGTGTTGAGGATGAGTCAGATCCCTTCTGAGGGCCTCTCTACCTAACCTTTCAAATTCTTTTTTGGCCAGGACTCCTTCCCAGGCTCCTCCCCAGGCCTGTCCTATCTGCTCACCTGCCAGCCCTATACAGAAAGCTACAAAGGTCCTGGGTCATCAAGGCCCACTTTCTGCACAGGGAAACTGAGGTACAGAGTGGGCATGGACTTGCTCCAAACTACTCCATCAGTGAGTTAGTGGGAGCAGGTCAAGGTCCTAGGGCACCTTGTCCCTAGTCAGTGGCAGGGAGCTGGGATGGAAGGAGTCTGTTTGGGTGTAAAAGCTGGAATTTGCTAAGAAAGGCCTGTGGAAGGCATGGGACTGAGTAAACATGGCAACAGGCCCCTGCCACTGGGAGTTACCTGGGAAGGGAAACCCACACTCAGTTCCTGGGTTTAAGATGGGAAGTGGCCTGGAGTTCCTGAGGCCACCATGTGCCAACACTAAACTGCTGCATTTGTGATCTTGCTGACTCTTCACACAGCCCTGCTGGGGACAGCGAGCCTTCCTCAGATGGCCCTGGAAACAGGCCAGGTGCGCCTGAGGCTGACCGCCTCCTGTACACACTAGGATGGGCAGTTTGTGCTCCTGGCTGTCACAGGCTCGGGCTGGTCAGTGGGTGGGGCTGGCTGGAGGCCCCTGCTAGGGCAGGGGAGGCAGCAGGCTTAAATTTGGTGAGTCCATGGCCAGGCTCTGTGATGGACCCACAGTGCGATTTGGTCTCAGTTTCCCATACTGTCCTATAGCCTGAATATCCAAGAAGCCTCACCCAAAGGAGACCAAAAGAGAAGGTGAGGACAAGCAGGCCTCTGTGTGCAGAGTCCCACAGACCTGGGCTCCACTCTGCCTCTGTCCTTGGCTGGGCCACCTAAGCTTTCTGCCTCCCTGGGCCTCTGTCAGATGGCACCTATGGGCATGAGATGCTGTCCATTCCTGACACTGAGCCTTCACACAGAGAACTCCATGCACAACAGTCCTGCATGGAGTTGTTCCTAGATCACATGTGGGAAAATTCAAATGCCTAACACAGTGTTTGCACCATAGATAGGTACAAAATTTGTTTCAGTTTTCAAAAAGTAAAACAAACATCTGTCCATTCACCTCTGCCCTCCCACACCCTGTTCCATGAGTTGAGGAATCTGAGAACCAAGGGTAAAAGTAGATGGGGTAACTGCATTTTGGAGGCTAGGTGGGGCTTGGGGACTCCCCACTAAATCCAAGGAGATGATCTTTAGTATAAGGCTCCATTGCCCACACCACACTCCATTGCCCTCCATGCCCTGGGGGAAGGGTGAGGACCACATCAGGTGGGACTGAACCCCTATCCGCATTTTAAATGGGAACAACTGAGGCCACAGAGGAGGTGATTTGCCCAACATCGCTCGGTGAGTTTAGACCCAGAACCAAGGCCAGAACTCAGAGGTCTCCTTGCTCAGTGGTCTTTCTGCCTCAACAACCAAATCTTGGGGGAGGCCCTGGGGGAGGAGGGCCAGGCAAGCCCCAAGCGCTGGAGAGGGCAGAGCTGAGAGAGGTTGCAGGTGACGAAGGCCCACCCCCCTCCCCTCTCTGGGGACACTGCCAGCCCTTTCCAGCCAATGGCACAAGCACACCATCTGGGGCGGGTGGGGTGGGTGGTTACCTGTCTCCCCACTTCACTGTTGTGTAGACGCATCAGTTTATTGGCTTGGGATCCTGTTTTTTTCACCTTCATAGGAGCATCGGAAAACTTGGCCCCCATGAGGAGCCCGTAGCTGAGGTTGTCCGCACATCCTCCCCAGCGGTTCCCGGGCCCGGGTGGCTCACCTGGCACAGGGCCGCAGGAGCAGCCGGGCAGGTCGCCAGAGGTGCAGGCCCGGGCGATGGCGTGGCTGATGGTGGCAGCCGACAGCGCATACACGAAGGCTGACTCCCGGGTCCCTATGGGGCCAGAGGTCATGGTCAGCAGGGGTGGGCTGATCCAAGGATAGGACCTGGCCCAGGTCTGAGAGTCCTCCTCCCTACCCACCTGAGGGCTCAGGCGGAGACGGGCTGTCATGACGGTGGTACAGGAGTAGGACTGTGTCAGGGCCATTAATCTGTCATCTCTTCTCCCCTACTTCTCCCTCGAAAACATCAGCTAACAGGCACACTCACTCTCAGCCACACACCCACAGGCACACACTCACACATTCCTGTGCGTGCTTGTAGCGCTCTGCTTTGGCCTCTGCCTGGCCCAAAACTAGTGTGAATGGCTGCTCTACAGAGACGAAGACTCAGGCCCTGAGTGCCACCAAGGACTCATGATGAGGACCTGATGAGGCAGGCGAGTGTGCAGAGGGCCTGCTGCAGGGAGAATTGGGTCCCCCTAAAAGATATTTCCAAGTCCTGGCTTGGGGTACCTGTGAGCATGCTCTTATTTAGAAGTAGCCTCTTTGCAGCTGCTGTGGGAGCTAAGACGAGATTGTCCTGGGTCGGGGATCCTGAGCTAGTGGTCAGTGCCTCGGAAGAGGGAAGTCTGGATGCAGACACACAAGGAATGGCCAGAGATGACTCCTTAATCCAAGACCCACCTGCCACCCTGACTGTGGACTTCCAACCTCCAGAATGGGGGACAATACATTTTGGTGGTTTGTAGCCAGCCAGTTTGTGGCACACTATGACAGAAGCCTTAGGAAACTAACACAGAGCCAGCTTCACCGGGGCTGTGCTGGCCCTCGGACTGGGCCAGGTTCCATCTCTTAACTAGAAGTTGCTTCCCCTTCTGGAGCCTCACTTTCCTTAGCTGCAGAACATGAGGTAATACCTACCTCACAGCCTCGCCCGGGCGTTCAAATAATTCAGGGGGAGAGGGAGCTTTGCCAAGTACCGAATAGACATTAGCTGTCACTGTTCAGGATTCCTGGGAGAAGGTATTACAGTGTAGGGAATAGTCAAAAGTGTCTGTCCAAAGTGACTCTGTTGTCCTGGTCCCCTGCTCCCTTCTTCTCCAGGAAGTCTGCCTCACAGCTGTTTTGTGCCTAACCGTTTTGTGAAGGACATAGCAGCTGCCGTCAGTCTGGTCTGGGATGGCCTGGGGTACACCTGGGGGCTCAAGGGTGGGCTTCATCTGGGCACTCTCCTCCCAATGTAAGCAATGACCTCAGGGTGTGCTGCAAGCCTCCTGGGTCCTTCGCTCTGAGTGAATTAGGGCTCAGGTGGCCTTGTGCTGATATAGTCACTCACCCATGATTCTGCCCTCACTAATTCACGCCTGAACACCCAGACCTATGAATGACATGTCTGCCTGCACATCCTCAGCCGTGCCTGCCTGTATCCGTCTGTGCTTCCATCCACCTCTTCACTCATCTATCCATGAATCCATCTATCCACCCATGAATTCATCCACCTATGCAAACACACAGATGTGTGCCAGGATTCCTCCAACCCCACTGGCACATGTTCAGCAGCCCCACAGCCCCCTACCTCTCTCCAAGTCAAGCAGGTAGTTGGGGGCCAGCTCGATGGAGGAGCAGTTCCAGCGCATGTCAGCAAAGGCCCTGCGGCAGGCCTTCATCACCTCTCGGGCAGCGTGCACGATGGTGTGCATGAGCTCCAGGTTGCTGCGGCATAACTGCACCTGCGCTGACACCAAGCCCTCCAGCTGCTTGCAGTGCTGCGTCTGGTTCAGTGCCAAGGCTGCCGGCGTCTTGGACAGTGCCCTGCACACCACCAAAAGCAAGCAATGGAAGAAAGACCTGGCCATGAACTGCCATGGTGCTTCCACCACCCACCCCGCCCTGACTTTCAATGAACTCTGGAGCCTTTCTTGGAAAAGCCAGGATGCTAGAAGGGAAAGTGCCACCTGGCAGAGCAACGGCTCTCCCTCCAGCCCCTGTTGTCCTGGTTCCCTGCTCCCCTCGGACACATCACTGTTCTCTCTGGGCCCTAAGTTTAACACAGGTTCACAACTGCCTAAGCTGTATGACAACAAATGGTTTTGCAGTTCACAAAGGACTGTCATCCACCACAGCTGCAAATTATTACTTTATTCAGTATTTATTAGGCAATGAGCAGCTGTGTGCCAGAACTAAATCACACATACTATTAACGGAGCCCTTACTATATGTACATGACAGGAGCTTCTCAGCATGGCTTCATTTAATTACTAAACCCAGTCATGTTGTAAAGTTCCCATCCATGCAAAGAACTGCCATTGAAGGACTGAAGGACATTCGCTTTTGTGATGATCAAAACTTGAAAAATTTTGTTTCTAATCCAGATTTTGCTGTTAACTCGCTGTGTGACCTTGGATAATTCACTGCTCCCCTAGCCTTAGTGTCTGTATCTGTAAACTGTTCCCAGGGATCCAGTGAGAGGGATTTCCCATCATCATGCCTTCACCCAAACTTTTCCTCATGCCTTTCCCCCTGCTCCTGTACTAGAATAAGTAAGTGAACTTCATCTACCTGTGGGAGAAATGTTTACTAAGTACCCATTCTTCCTGACTCTTGATAATGATCATGGCATAGATCTTCTAGGATGCCTTAGACTAATATGGCTGGATCAACCTACCAACAGCTGAAGGCAAGGACCCAGCTCTTCCAGCTCCTGGCCTCACCCAGGAAGAAGAACAAGCTTGGGCACCAGTAGTGAGACCTGGGTCAATCAACCAGTTTCTCTGAGCCTCATCATCTCATCTGTTAACAGTGATCATTTCTTCTTCAAAAGGTTATGGAGAGGCTTTAATAAGATGATGTATCACACAGCAGGTGGAACATTCGGATATATGAGGCTCCCCAGCCCATTGCTAGGGGATCTGCAGCCGTGAGGAAGTGAGGAGAGGTGGGCTGTACATAAGGTCTGCTTTAGGTATTCAGTTTTGGGCGAATTGCTGCTTCTGAGTATCTACTACAAAATGCAGGCAAGTGCTAAGTGAGGTAACCTTCCTTCCTCCTACCTCTCACTCCCTGCCATGCCCCACTTACCCTATGACCTCCAAATATACCAACCTGAAAGAGACCCCAGAAGCAGGCTGAGGGCAAGCAGGCCTGGCCTGATGTCTGTGGCTGGGGTCCTATAATAGTCTGAGAACAACTGTGGGCAGCCTGGCCACTCTCCCCTCTCTGTAGCCCCTGACCCGTCCCCACCCTCCAAGGCAGGAGCAGGCACATGCTGGGTGTGTCTGGATGCTACACAGTGGCCTCCAGACACAGCTTCCTGACCTCACTGCCAGCGGAGCCTGTTGTCTGCTTCCGAGAGTCCTGACTGGGTGGGCTTTGACCACACAGAGGCAAATGTCATCACCTCCGCAGGCCCTGTGGTTAATAGACCCCACCCCTACCCAACTACAGTCCACTGGGCCGTGCCCCATGTGTGCACAGTGCTTCTCCCTGCTCACAGCCTCATCCCCCCACCCCAGATGAGGGGATCATAAATGAGGACACTTAGGAGGGGCCAGCGGCAGCACCTGCCCAGCACCCCAGTCACCCAAGCTTCGCAACAGACTGTCAGTGCCTCCAGCCTCTCTTGGGTCGCCTGTGCTGCTCTGGGCTATCTGCATGGGCTCTGCTCTTTGCCTTCACCAGCTTCCTCCCCTCCGCTTTGAACCAGTTTTCTCAGTTTTAAATAGGAAAGAGTCCACCAGCAACAACAAATCAAACATCTGGCCCCAAGGGGCACTGTACAACCGCTTTCCAGGGTTTTAACCTAGGCTCCTGCCCTCGGCATGAAGTGGGGTGATAAGGGCAAAGCTTTTCCTGCAGAGCACAGGGCAGGCAGCATCTGAGGGCTGGGAGCTGTGGTTTTTGGGAATGGGAGCTCTAAGGTGCTGGTGCCTGGCTCTCACTGCCTGGGGACCCTGGAGGCCCTCTGGTGTCTCAGCTCCCATTCCAGGTAGGAAGGAGTAGCTTCCCCTGCAAGCTGTCCAGGTGCCTCCCAGATGAGGCTCAGACCCCCGAAGAGGATGTGTGGGAAGCTGTTCTACAGACACCTGGAGGTAGGGGTGCGGCCAGTGCAGACCCTAGGGACCTGCCGTGGGGCTGGGGGAGCTGTGGGTGGGATAGGCCAGCCAGTGTGGTTGGATGGGAGCAGCCAGGCCCTATGTGTGGGGGAGGCCCAGACTAAGGCAGCAGACTCTGCTGCCCAGGAGGGCTGAGCGGTCATCTGGTAATTAGTGGTAATGACCGTTTCTAACTATATCCCCCTTGGGGAGGTAATCAAGGATTAAGGCGGTGGGCAGGGGAGTCACTGGTGTGGACATCTCCCTGGGCTCGCCTCTCGCCAGCAGACCCCTAATTGGAAACATTCTGGTTTATCTAGAGGAAGGGGCGTGGGGGAGCGGGTGGAAGAAAGGACAGGAGGGAACAGAGAGTTCACAGGCAATGCCTGTGCCAGGGGCTCCACAGGGGTAGCTGCAGGAGCTGGCTTCTCTGGGGCTAGCTCAGCTACTTACTTTTCATGTGACCTTGGCAAGTCACTGACCCTGGCCCCGCCTCAGTTTCCCCATCCATAGCAATCAGTTCCTACTATAAGGACATTTTACAGTAATCCCTAGCTTTACCTTCCACCATGGCCCTTGCATCCATGGGACAACCCTCCCTGTCTTTTCCATTCTACCAGCCCATCTCCATGCCTCTCCAGGGGGTTCGTCCCTTCCTGAGGCCTCCGCAGGGCTTTGCATCTCCTGCCAGTCTATTGCAATCTTCTGCTGTGCCCTGCTAAGCCATTTTGCATAGCTGCCAGTAACCCTACCCGCAGGTGATTCTCAGGCACCTGGCCCACGTAAGGCCACCATCAGCATGGGCCTCTTTCCCATCCCACCCATTGCAGTGTTCCTCTCCACTGGGCACAGGGCAGGATGAATTCTCAGCCAGAGGCTTCAAGTACCAGGGCCCTAAGGTGTTTCATTCTGCAGTCCAGCTGCTCAGTCCGCATGGTACCCAACCCATCCATTAGCTAGGACATGTATAGCAGGGCTGGGGGCCCAAGGCTTTGGAAGGATCCCTACCAGCATACCCAGAATGAAACCCAGCATCCCCTCATTCCCCTGCAGATAGAGATGGGATGAGGTCAACAGTCAGGTGCAGGTAGGTCTTGACAACCGCCACACCTCAGGATAAGGAGCCTGGGTAGGGCTGTGGGGCTGGTCCCAGGAGGGGTGTAAGTCTTTCCCAAGAAGCCAGGTGGTTCTGGATGTAGGGACCATGCTGACCTGTTGTAGGTCAGCAACAGAGTCTGAGAAGACCTTGCTCCCCAAATCAGATACTTGTCTGCCTTTTAGGCTGTCCTGGATCACAACTCACACTGGTGTCCAGGAAGCAGGGAAGACAGAAAACTTGGGAACTAGGCAAACTCAGCCCTGCTCTGGGCTTCCATCTACCCCCTGGAGTGGCCTTGGAGAGCCTTGCCCTCTTCTACAAGTTGTGTGGTTTACTGGTGAGGCCTTGCGTCTAGGAACCAAGGCTCAGAACTGTCCCCTTTCCCCAGTCACTCTAGGCCAGGAAGAAGCCCCCAGGATGCACGGCCTGAGGGTTCTCCTGTTCCCTCTCGGGCATTTGTCCCAGGGCTTCAGAGCCAAGAGTAACCAGGCCAGCTCCTTTCTTACACTGTGGAGACTGGGAAACCAAGGTTGATGAAGGGTTTGGATCCTGCAGATCCCATCCCGCATTGAAGGCATTGCCAAGACCTGAGGGGAGAGCTCAGGCTGGTGCTCCACCCCACTTTGCAGAAGATATCTTTTCTTGGGGCTGGGGATTTAGCTCAGCGGCATAAGTGCCTGCCTTGCAAGCAGGCAGTCGTGAGTTCGATGCCTGGTACCGGTAAAAAGGAGAAAGACAAAAAAAAAAAAAAAAAAAAAAAAAGAAGAAGAAGATATCTCTCTTCTCTAAGCTCTCCTGGGACTTCCTGAGAGTTCTGCCCCTTCGTGAATGGCAGGTGTGAGCCTACCGATGGTGGGGGCACTCTTCCTGGGTCTCCCTAGGTCAGCCTAGGCCTAACCTCTGTGGGGCAGCTGTGATGGCTCACAGAAGCTGGGACCACCCTCCCCACCCAGAACACCCATTGGGGTGGGTGAGCCAGACTCCCCCACACCTGTTGCTCTGGGGTTTCCTAGAACCTGGCCTGGGAGGGCTCTGGGGATTTTACAGGCAGGCACTCCCATGGGCAGGTAGGTCCTGACTCCAATCTTACCCCCTCCCACCTGCTCAGGCTGTCCCTGGTCCCCACAGGGGGTGATCCCAGGTCATGTAGCTTCATCTGGCTTAAGTCTCTGTGCTAAATGTCCCTTTCATCTCCAAGTCACTTTCCAAAGCCCAGGGCCTGCCCCAGGACAGTTGATCCTCCACAATGGGTCCCCATCCTTCCACTCCCATTGTCCAACTGAGGCTTCCTGTGACCAACAGGCTGTAGTCAGATTGCCCAACTCAAATCCTGCCTCTATTACCCACTGGGTGTGACACCCTGTTGGTTAAAGAACACCCTCATGCCTTTGTTTCCTCTTCCAAATGAGTCAGACAATGGCAGAAGCCACGGCACAGGGTGGTAGGGAGATTTAAGTGAAACCATACACATCAGGTATTTAGAACTGCATAGCAGGCAGCAAGACTGTGTGTGCTTGTGCATATCTATGTGTGCATGCATGTGTCTAGGTGCACATGTGTAAGTTATTCTTAAACTCTGCCCCTTCTCCCACCTCCCCTCTGCCTTCAGCTCCAGCAAGAGATTAGTTATTATCAAGAGATTTGGCTTCCTGGAGCCCATCAGCCTGGTTTCTGATCCTCCAGCCATGAATCAGCTCTGAGACTGTGGGGGGAATTACCATCTCTGTACCTTAATTTCCTCCATCTCCTATCACATGAGAATAGTAACACATTCTGTGATGACGGCACTTGGAGCCATGTCTGGGCACTTACTAGCAGGTGTTTGTGACTCCCGATCGCTACACATTTCCAGACAGGACCGTCCTGCCCTGCCATCTGCCCGTATTACTCCTCCTGCCCGCTTTCATTTCATCTCTGCCTGTCACAACCCTCTCTGCCCTTCTTGGCCCAGCTGCAGTTACCTCCCTTGGGTGGAAATGGCTGCCCCTCTCCCTGGCTCCCACACCTACTTTCTCGGGACCCTGATCGCTGTCTCCCTGCTATTTTCCTGCCTCCATCTCCCAAGCAGCTGGGAGATGCTGAGTGTGCATTCTTCTGTTGCAGCCAGTGGTATGGTGGGTATAACCTGGTGTTAGCCTTAGCCAGCAACTGGCCTGGCTTATGCCAGCTTGAGGGCTGCTAAGAGTGACACACTCCTCAGAGCCTCAGTACCTTCAAAGCAGGGCAGGGATGACAGCGGTGTTGCCATGACTCTGAGCACCCAGTGTCACTCAAGCCCAGTTCTCAACCTCTGGCACTTCTCGTGCCTTTCTGTAAATCCTTTCCAAGGGGATGCTGCATGAGAAGGGCTTCTCTCATTGCCCCCAGATTCTGCTGGCAGGAAGAGCACTGGATTCTCCACAAAGCTCATGAGGGGCAGATGGGGGGAATCCAATGCCACAGACCACTGGGCCAGGCTTCTCCTTGCAAACAGGAAGCACAGGAAAATGGGGTTCTGCTGCTCTTGAGTCATCAATTAATCTATAACTCAGCACAGAAGGGGCAGGGCCAGTGACCTGAGAATGTTTGCTGGTGGCCCAACCGCTATCGCCCAGTCTTTCAGTTAATCCACAAAGTCTCCGAAGGCCCCTCCCTAGCCCCCATAATCTGTCCGCTGCTGTTTTATCTGCTTGCTCCCTGCCCCTGCACCAGCTCCAGTCCTGTGTCCTGTCCTACACTTCCCCACCTGGGCCTTTGCTCCTCCAACAGCAGGTCCTCCTCCCTAATCCCCCCAGCCAGCTCCCTCCAACTCCACAGCGGCCAGGACAAGCCCTGGAAAGCCCAGATTCCCCGTGTGTGACAACCCCCCACCACTCCGCCTTTCTTGTCTCTGAGCCCCCACACTGAAGCACTGGTCTCTCCTGCACACTTGGGACATTTGTGGAGTTATTTACAGCCAGGGCTTATCTCTCCCGGCTTAGGGGTGGCTCCTCCAAGGAAGGGCTGGGTGTCATTCCTCCATCCTGCACAGCCGGGACAGTGGGCACCCCTGCAGACAGGAGGCTCTCCTACCATCTCCCAGGGATCGTTCCTACCTATAGGCACAAGTGTCCACACCTGATAGCTAAGGGTGCTTCTCGGAAGTCTCTTCTTCAGTGCTTCGAGGAACCTGATTATCCTCCTTTGCCAGAGGAGTCCCCAAGGTCACCCCGGTGCAAGGATCAAGACTGCCTCTCCAGACCTCCAGTTAGGGACAAGGAGGCTGAGCAGAAAGTATCCTAAGCTGGCCCCCAGCGCCCAGAGCAGACCCTCTGCTGACTGCGACCTGGACAAGGCTGTCTTTTGAGAGCTCTCCTGACCAGTACGCAAAAATTCCTTTGTCCCAATTCGCAAACCCCCTGGGAGGTGAGGACTGCATTTTACACAGGAAGAAACTGAACCTTAAGGATGGCTTTTCCAAGATCTCCAAGTCGACTTGGAATGGAGCTGGGCACGTTCCCCAACCCACTCCGCTGCGCCCCACCGCCCGTCCCGGCCCCGGCAGTGGACCCAGGGTCCCTACTTACAGCCACTTGATGCCATAGCACACGCCGGTCTGGAGCGCCAGGGCGAAGAGCAGCGCCTCACAGACCTGCGGCCGCGCCCTCATCGTCGCGCGGCGGGTGCGCCCGGGGTCGCACCCAGCAAGAGCAGCGCCGAAGTCTCGCTGCCTGCAAGGCCACCGCTGCTGGTCCTGAGCGCACGCCTCCTACAGTCGGGAGAACGGGGCGGCGCGTTAAGACCGCGCGCTGGCGGGCGGGAGGCGTCTTATTCAAATTACAAAGGAGGGGTCGCCTGGAGAGGCCGAGCGCTTGGCGAGAGCCCCTCCCGTCCGCGTCACCCGGGACCGGCGTCTGGCTCTAATTAGGTGCAACCGAGGGACAAACTGGGACAGACACACAGACACCAACTGACGGGTGGAAAGAAGAGGAGTAAGAAGTCTTGCCCCCTGGCTTGGGATCTGGGTTTTTATCCTGGCGATATTAATAATTATGGCCTTATCAATTCTCCTGCCTTTCTGGGCCTCAGTTTACCCCTTCTGCAAAATGGGGCAATGGAGTGATTTGGATGTAGTTCTCCTTTTATAAAGAACATTCTCTTAAAATGATCTCGTTTTTGCTCCTCCCAGCAGCTTTGGGACGGGTACCATCTCTGTCCCTATCTTACTCTGAGGAAACTGAGACCCAGAGATGAGAAATGGGTTATTCAGCTAAGGAAGCGCAGATCCGAGCTTGGGGATAGGGATGTCCGGTGACATCAGACAGATCATGAGGGCTTTTCTTGGCATTGGCTTTTCAGTCTGGGAAGGTGAGGAGAAGAAATGGGATGGCAAGGCTCTTTACACAGCGAATGAACAGCCGCCCAACGCCCGCGGGTCTGTAAGATGTTGCCTGGGGCCGCCAGGCGGCGCCCCAGGGCCTCGGGTGAGCCACTACCCGTCCCGGTCACAGCCCGCAGAATTCCTTTCCGCAGCTCCCCGCCACCTTCATTCTCACCTCATCAACTCCCTTCCCAGCTTCTCCCAAATTTACCAACACCTGGCCTTCGCCCGCCCGGAGCGATACACAGCCCAAGCTCCTCTCCCTAGTGAGACGCAGAGACAAAGGGATTCCTTTCTAACGGGTTTGTAGTTGGAAAAAGGAGGTAACGGACCTTGTATGAGGGTGAGGGTGGGGGTGGAGAGTGCTGGAGCAGGAAGAGGGAGTCCTCAGCTGACTTTCTGAGCTTTAGCAAGCCCTCAACTACCCCAGACTCAGTTTCCCCTTTTACAGAAACAATCCACTGGACTCCACACATTTCCTGAAGACTCTCCAGCCTCTCAATCCTGAATCTTCAAGCTTACCTTCGCCTGTTTTCACTATTTCGTATACCTGTGTAGTATGTGCGTGTGTGCCTGAAGTATATCCGTGCGCGTGCGCGCGCGCGCACGCACACACACACACACACACACACACACACACACCTCCACTATTTTGGGGGGCCTTCTGGCATAACTCAGAGGAAGGCAAGGAGAAAAATTACATTTTTTACTCCACAGTGTCCCCCAGGGAAGCGCCCAACACAGAGACGCTCAGTACAAACTTGAGTCCAAGTTAGGGTCTCCGTAGGGTTCTCCGTGTAGAAGAGCCCTCTCCTCCCACCCAGGCTGTCTCCAAAGCCTTTGTCTCACTAGTCCTGGGAGTTTACCGCAGTCCTCAGGAAGAGACAAATATCCTTTGGCTGGTTGGGAGATCGAAACTCCTGTCACTGCCTCCCCCAACCCCTTGCAGGCTCCCTGCAAGACGCTGAGCATTCCTGGGTGGGGAGAAGGCCGGGGCTGCACGCAGAAGGCGGCGCGCAAACTTACAGCGGGAAACAGCGTTCAGTTCGACTGTGCAGAGAGAGGAGGAGCTGCTCAGGTCGCACAGAGAACGAAGACCCAGGCCCCCTGCCACTCCCTGCGCTGTCAGAGCAGCCCCAGCGGTGCCCGACTTTTGCCTCCACTGTCCCAGATCGCCGCTAGGGGAGGCAGCTATCGGTGTGGGCCTCAGCCCTGACGGATTACTCTTGTCCCATGTGAGAATGTCCAAGACAGCCACGCAGGCCGCTAGGTCACCCTCACCCTGCACCCTGCGGGTCATCGCGTACTCGCCTCCCGGAGTCCCCGGGCCGCTAGGGGGCGCTAAGCCCGGGTTCAAGGTGGGATCGCCGCAGCCTCCAGTATCGTGGGACTTTAGGCAAGCCTTCTCTTTCTGCGCCGGGTATACTGGTCTGGGATGAGGTGTGACGTGAATGCCCTCTCAGTCCTGTCATTCTATAGGACATCCACTTGCCTTGATCGGGCCAGACTGACCGGCCCCTTGCTTCAGGCTCTGCGCAAAGCGCTTTGGGTTCAGGCGCACAGCGGGCTAGCGTCACAGCGCAGAGTCTATGGAAGGATACAAGTCCCTTCCGAGCCCGCCGGGGAATAGGCCCAAGTCACCCTACCTGCAGCAGGGAATGGAAGAGGCCGTCCCAGGCTGTGCACATACAGGACAGCGCAAGAGCAGCGGACCCAGCGCCGCACTGTCAACATGTAGTTCTAAGACTTAGGTTATAGTTTCTAGAAGCCCCGCCGCACGGGCAGCCTCTCTGAGCTCAGCTGGAGAAGAAAAGCAAAACCTTAGTTACCCCGATGCGCCAATGCTGGGCCGGGGCCGGGAACCACGCGCAGGGGCAGTGTGCACGCCTCGCGTAAGGCCGGCGCCCGCCCGTGCAGAAGCCTCCGGCAGCGCAGCCCTTACCGCGGGCCGAGCGATCCAGGGACGCTGAGCAAGGGCTTCAAGGTTATCTGCGAGGCGGAGTGAGGCCTGGCCAGCAACCTGGCTGTGACCACAGCCTCGAGTCTTCCAGGATCTATCTGCGTGGCTGTGGACGCTGCTCCGGGTCGCCTCTGAGACCAGTGTTTTAAGAAGTGGGTAGGAAGGGTGGGGAACTCGGCAGTCCTCTTGCTACCCCACTGGAGCTCGACTCTGAACGCCCAAGGACCGTGCAGGACATGGGGGCACCTCAGAGTTGGGGGAGTGGAGGTGTGGGGCTCCGGTGTTCCAGGAGGCTCCAGATGTGCAGCGGGGCAGAGTACAGGACTCTCCTTCCCCAAACCCCAGCCTAGAGCTCAGGTCTGTAAACAAACTCGCGAGGTTCTTCCCCACCCTCCTTGCCACTGGGAGCCGTTCACAAAACAAGGCATCCGTTCTGCACCTCCCAGTTTGGTAGGAGCCGCCAGAGTTCTTCACCTTTGCCACCCTCTCCAGCCTCGTCACGCACACCCTCTGCCAAGGGATCCAAGTCTCCCACCCCCGGGATGGCTCGGGCATGATCTCATCTGCGGGCCGGCTGGGAAGGAGGGGGTCGAGGCCTGCGGTATGGGACACGGCCGGAAAAGCTCCGAGAGGGCCGCAGGCACAGCGCAACCCACCCACACCCCATCAGCTCCAGTCCGCATCCCCAAGTTTCGCTTGGAAAATGGAATTGCTCGGAGTGCCGCGGTGGAGAAGCATGAAGGAGGAGGACTTGGTTTTCTTCCCCGGTACCCCAGGGGTTTGTGGCGGGTGCTCAAGGAGCGCCGTCACCCTCGGCCTGGCGCCCCGCGCCCTAGCAGATCCCGGCTGAGAGTCTGTCTGGTCGCTACTATTGCTCACCTCTCGGAGTGCTCTCCGGTCGTGCCCTGCGTGCCCCGCTTGCCCCGGTCAGTCCCAGGAGCGGAAAGCGCGGTCCTCAGCACGCCTGAGCGCACTTGGGCTAACGGTGGCGAGGGCGCCCTCTGGTCGAAGCGGCAGGAGAAGGACGCCGGGCGTCTGGCACACAGAGGCAGGTTCGGGTGTTGCGCACTTGGGCTGCTTTCCGCTGCGCTCTGCTCGCCCTGGGCCTGCGCTTGCCGGCTCACTGCGGCTCTCCCCCTTCTCCGCGCGCTCTGCGGCGCATGCCGCCCCATCTGCTTTATAAGGCGCGGGCAGCCGCTTTGATCCGCCCACGTCGGCGTGCCGAAACCCCACCGGGTGGCTCCGGGCGCACAGCGGGTGGAGGGAGAGTCCTTGCGGGCGCCTCACACCCACGGCGCCCGTCAGCCTCTCCAGACGACTTCACACCCTGTTGAGGTTCAGAGGCAGACTAGCTCGCCACAGCCGGTGTTTACTGAGCGCGCCTGCTTGCATACCTCCTGAGTGCCACAGGCGCGCAGGACCCACGTAAGGCCCATCTGGGAGTCCTCTAGGCGAGGAATCTCATCCTGTCAGAGGGAAGTCGAACTTGGATCTCAGTTTGGGGCCCCCGCATCTCTAGGAGTTTGTCTCTGAACTTGCTTCTTACAGGTGCCAGGGGTCATGAGACTGACCATGCTGTCCAGGTCCTTCGTGGCGCTATGTCTCTTGGCCTCTGGTTCCAGTTCTAGAGTCAGATCAAGGAGCCCATCCTCTCAGCATCGAAGGGAGGCCCTGTAAACCTTAGGCATCAAGCTTGGCTGGTGATTCCTTGGTGTGACTGTTGGGGAGTCTTTAGAACATAAAGGGAACCACAGAAGTGTAGCCCAGTTTGGGGCTGGACCACCCCTTGCCCCAACCAGACCTGCAGTAAATCCGAAGTGGAGTGCCCCGTACTTTTCACAGTCCACCAAGTGCTATGGTTTCATAAGCTTCTATCTTCTTCTAGAAACTTCCAATATCAGAAGGTTCTTGTGCATAATCTAACTCATTGGGCTGGGGATTTAGCTCAGCAGCACAAGCACCTGCCTGGCAAGTTCGAGGGCCTGAGTTCCACTCCTGGTACATAAAAAAAAAAAAAAAAAAAAAAAAAATCTAGCTCATTAGCAGAAAGAAAATGAAAACTTAGGGTCCCAAAAAGTGCCAGATATTTTCCCCTATTGTGTGCAGATGCAAATGAAGGGGCACTCACAGGCTCCCCCTCTAACGTGCTTACAGGTACCTTCACCTAAACACACAATGTTTACATCAGCCTTACAGCCCCACAAGTACCATCACACATGGACAGCCAGTGCCCTTTGGGTATAAAGCTGGAACACATCACCACTAATGGTCATAGACACAATGCCCAGGAGATCCTTGGACACATCATATACACTCAGTAGCACAAAGCTGTGACATGGCCCTACACATTCATTAGGATGAGGCTGAATACACAGGCTGCTTCCAATCAATTCATGCACAAACAAGTTTGCATGTATGGTGAGAACAC